CACCGTGCTGCTGGACTCACGCACAATATTACACTTGACTGAGTGGTCTGTTTCTGAAATCGCACACACAAAAGACTTGTAAGGTGACAAGACAAGGTGGAGACACGGGCGAGACACGGGCGAGACACCACCGAACAGGCCAAGCCAGCAAACCATTGCGAGGAGCGACGCCATGCCGAGGGGATTCGAGCTGGAACCATAAGACATCGGTAGTCTCCGTCCCGACCAGCGGCCCAGGGATGAAATATATTAGACTGCAACAGAAAGACTCGTATATACATATTGCGCTGTCTTGTATGATTTTATGCTGTTGTAAATCATATTCCCCCCCCGCCCCGGGAGAGACGGGAGAGACACGGGAGAGACACGGGAGAGACACTTTTCTGCCCCAAAGCCAGTGTTTTTTCCTGGTGTAAAAGGGGGAGGGGGGGGCGGGGGGGGGGTGGAAGGGGTGAAAAGTCCGGGGGGGGGGCCCAAATCCTTTGATTTTTGGCTCCGGCCCCCCTCCCTCCCCCCTACCCCTTCGCACCCCTTCCACAACCGTGAAACTGGCCTCACAGCACCAAAAATGAATACATTCTATAATGTTAAAGTTAGACTTACATCTCAAACTCCACCGATATGCTAAACCCTAAAATTCCCAACACTCACCACCGAATCTCGAAAAAAACATGCCCAGAAGCTAAACCCTAAAATGCTCAACATTTACTACCGAACCAACAAAATAAACCTAAACCCCGCCCGGTCCTACCGAGAAGCTAAACCCTAAAATGCCCAACATTTACCACCGAATCTCGAAAAAAAATGCCCAGAAGCTAAACCCTACAATGCCCAACATTTACTACCGAACCAACAAAATAAACCTAAACCCCGCCCGGTCCTACCGAGAAGCTAAACCCTAACATGCCCAACATTTACCACCGAGCCACCCCCCCCCCACCCAAAAAAAACAAAAAATACCCGGTCCTACCGAGAAGCTAAACCCTAAAATGCCCAGCATTTACCACAGAGCCCACCCCCCCAACAAAAAAAAACAGCCCGGTCCTACCGAGAAGCTAAACCCTAAAATGCCCAGAGGTCACCAAAGAACCAACAACATAAACCTAAACCTCGCCCGGTGTCACCGAGAAGCTAAACCCCAAAATGCCCAACATTTACCACCGAACCACCACCAAAAAAAAATTAAAAAAAACAGCCCGGTCCTACCGATAGGCACGATTGCACAACGTTCTTGGAGGCAAAATGGCGCACGGTGCATTCCACCATGGAGCAATATCAACTGCAGGCAGCTGGTGGTATTTACGTTTTTGGAAAACAGCCGAAAGCAACACCCGGTCAAACAACAACGTCGGGGGAGGTCGCGGCCGGTTTCTGAGGTCGGCTCCAGCCGTTGGTTTGCTCTGGCCAATGACCTCAGACCAGCGCTGGAGACACAGCAGGAGACGGAGCCAAGGCCAAAAAACTCAGTTGCGCGGCCATTCTGCGATCTTCACGCGAGCCTCCAGCAGCTCCTCCAAGCCCTCCGTATAGAAAAGGTCCTCAAGGAAGCTGAGAAATCCGCGCTCTGCAGCGGTGCTCGAAGGGCCCCGTCCCGTCTGAGGCTCGAGCCTCGTCCCCGGTCGACTCCTGCCTCTTCGCGTCCAAGGTCGGAGCGGTACCTCAGATTCCAATCTCCGTGTTCCGACAAAGAGTGGAGACCAAAGCGAAGGCCCTCAGGAATCTGCGGCCCGCCATGATGGTCCGCAAGCGGTCTCTGCGCTCGTAGGGGCCCTCGCCGAAGATGCACACCTCGGAAGAAAAACTCTGAGGCGCTGAAACGTCATGAATGGGGCCGTTGAGGCGCTGACCGGCTCACCAAACTCGCGGAGCTTGGCCTTGACCTGCACGTCCCCGGTGGGCACCGCCAGCCTGGTCACGGAAACCCAGACGAAACCGAGACGGAAACCCACGCAGCCCGACTCTCTTTGGAAAATACCGTTTCGCATCCTTCCGAGTCTCTTCTGGTTCCGAGGCGCTCTCGCTGGGTGCGCTTCTGCTCGAAGGCCCGCACCGCCTCCTCGTGCTGCTGCCTTGGCTCTCCCCTCTCGCAGCAGTCTCGCGGACGCCGTTTTTGGGCGCCGGACCGAGCACGGGCCATGTCATCGGCAGCTCCTGCGACGATGTCCGCGTCGGAGGGCACATGGATGTTGGAACCGCTGAAGGCTTCCCCTCAAGGCAGGGACGCTGCGCGACGCTGTGGGACGCTACGTGGCGAGACGCGGGCTCATGTGGGCTGAGGCTGAGGCGCTCTTCCCCAGCAGCTCCGAGGGACCTTGGTCGTTTGGGGGGGCGGGGGCCGCACCCGGGGGCACGTGGCACGCGCCATTGAGGCCCCGGCCCGGAAAGGTCTCCATAGTGCAGGTGCTCAGCCTTAGACTCAGAGACGCAGATCAGTGCGCAGATCTCACGCAAGGCCTCGCAGGACTGAGGGCTGTGACCATGGCGCGGAGCCGACCGTGTCCCCGCCAACTACGGGATTCGCCCGTCGGCCCACTTGAGTGAGGGCATCAGAGCTGCGCTCTCTAAACTGCTCTCTTGTCAGGTTTGCCATCTTGCCAGACCGCACAGCACCGGGCAATTTCGAAGGTCGACATATGGATGTCGATGGGCTCATTGAGAGTGTGGTGAGACGCGCTGTGAGACGACCCAGGTTCCCCATAGGTATGGGCCTGGGCCTCCTTTTTGCTCTCCCTTTGGGAGGACGGCCTACCCGGTTGCCGCTCTCATGCATCCGGCCCATGGGTCTTGACTAAGGAGTACCTCACGAGCTCTGCACTCTGAAAGTGCGCGCCGTGGCGCTCTTTCGGAGCGGAGATCGGCGCACGAGGAGAGACAGCGGTACTCGATGTGCGGCAAGCGGTTCAGGATATCCTCAAGACGCTGTCACGCCTTCCCACTCCTAAACCCCAAGCCGGCCTCGGCGAAGACGGTGGTCTTTAAGTCTGCACTGAAATAGTACAGGACCAAGGAGATCATCGGATTCTCTGCCATCATCACCTCAAGAAGCTGCAAGAAGTGCCAAGTGCCGTGAGCCATACCATGACTGGGAGGCTCGGGCGGTAATCTCGAGGCTGTCATCATCGCTGAGCTCCGAGGCGGTAATTGGCAAAGTCCTCGCAGGTGCCACGGCCTTCAATGCCTACCACTTAAGGGTTCATCTGAGGCTTTGGCGTGGACCAATGCAGAGGAACGTTTTCCGGAAAGCAAATGAACACCGGCTTCTCGTGGAACACGTTCTCGGGTCCACAGAGCTCAGCCAGACATCTTCGGCGGCCCAACTCATCGCGCTGAATCCCCGCCTGGCCCTTGTACATCACCTGCCACCTCGGCAAGCACAACAGACATTCTCTGGCTCTGTACTGCTTCCATTCCGATCCAAGGCGCGCGAACATCGCAGCAGGAAACCGGTTGATCGCGCGGCTCTCCTCGTGTTCATTGAGTTCAAGGAAGTTGCTACGACACGAAACCCAGGGCCTCCGTAGGCTTCGCACTCTCGTAGACAAGTCGCAATTTGCCCTCACAAGCTGACGTGGGCACGTACAGTAACGTGGGGTTGTTGCTTGCAGCGCCTCGGCTCCGTAATCCAAGCGGATGCACCAGTCAAAGAACTTCCCAGCTACAACCTGCTTGCACATATCCCAAAGGGGCCAAGGGGTGATGTCAAACTCTTTCGCATGCCTTCGCTGGGGTTCCATCCATTGCCATTCGCCTGAACGGGGAAACAAGTTCCGGCAAGGTCTCACAGAAGCCAGGCATCCGCCCGCCAGGCATCCAGCACTCCATCGATGCGCCAAACCTGACTTGGATCCTCCTGCTCGACATCCTCCAAAATGCGACCCGATGCCCGTCACCGAGGCGGTGCAAACCGACCTCGCCAGGAATGGACCGCAGCACCGAGAAGTCTCCACCTCAGGTCCATTGCTCCCAGCGCACACCCGAGGATTGTGCGTGCGCGCGCGCACGCGCGCGCGCGCGTGCCGACAAGCTCGGCCCACTGCCACCCCACTGCCAGGTTTTTGTTTCACGAAGCAAGTCGCACCTGAGTCGCTCGGCCCTGAAGCTGACTCTGTCTGAAGCGCCATGCTCTAAGAATCCGAGCGCGGAGTCGATCTGTGTGTGCTGCAAACAGTATTTGACCTTCCCCAAGGTCACCAAGGACTCTTTGCGAATTGCGAAGGCTCATGTGTCTCAGCTTCCGGCAACGAGGTCAGTCTCGGTATCGTCCGAAACCTGCCAACTGTCGACAGCCTATCTGCATGGACAGGAAACTTTGTCAGACACCTGATGGCAGGCGTACTGAAGAACGATGGTAAGGAGATGCCTTCCAGGGGAAAGCACCGATATTGCAACACACATCTCCTAGTCCGGCTCTTTCGGGCACCTCGGAACCTTGAGGAGGCTTTCCTTCCGGCTCTTCAACATCGACTGCAGGTGTTCGCCAGTAAACTTGCACGCGGCATCCTCAACACACAAGATGGATCAACCACGAGGCATGTGACAAGCGAAGATCCCGCAGCTCCTCGAATTCCGGAAATTTGTGGAGGGCTTCGTGGTTCAGGACATCCACACTGGCAATTGTAGCTCAAGAAGCTTCTCAGTGCTCGCCATGTCGACTTGGAGCGGGACCAGTTCGACTCGTCCAGACCGTTCCTCGGCAGGGCAAGCAAAGCTTGGAGGGGCCTATCTGGGGGATGCTGGGGGCCAGACACAATGATGGGCCTCACATCCTCTGCCTCTACTGCCTTGACCTGCAGCTCCTGTGGCTTGGCACGGACTGCTGAAAGCAATCACTTCAAGCGCCGGAGGGGTTTAGGGCAGTTTAGGGTGTTTTTAGGGTGGACTCCAACTCCTCTGCAAGACTGAGGAGATCCAAACCTGTGAGAAGGCGAGAGCAAGCGCTCGAAGGAAGAATCGGACGAACCGGATGCCTTCCAGCGATGTCATCCGATCTGCTGCAAGACCTCCGAAATACCTGGCATTGGTCAGACGTAGCAAAGTCTAGGGCCAGCGAGCAATGCAGGCACAGGTGACAGCAAACGGACGAGGGTATAAACCTCAAGCAATGGTTCCGGGCTCAAAATTCATGCTGGAAGCATCAGAAAGATGCGCAACAGCTTTGGGCGCTGCCACAGTGAATTTGTGTTCCAACCTCAGGCAGCCAATGAACGAGATCACAAATCTACTGAGAGATAGGTCATGCCCCAATCCTTTGGCCGTTGCTCCACCCGTTCGTGGCCGGGGTTCTCTGCAAAGAGTGCCGATAAGAAAGGGGAGTGCGCAGCCAAGATCGCCTCGAAGAGACATTCCCATGCAAGTGCGCAGCATGGACAGGCACGTGGGACAGCACACTTGCCTTGTGTGCAGGAATCTCGCGTCCTTCAGCCTGGCAACACCGTGCAGTGCTCGACTTGGCCTGTGCAGTTTGACATCCTCACCTGAATGAAAATGTCTGCGTGGTTGGCACCCTGCTTTTCGAAGAGTGCCAACAAATTGAATTGCAAACCTGCAAAGTGCCAACGAAAACAGGCCAAACCGGGACGGCAAAAGTTGCTGCCTTCGAAAGATCTCAAGTTCGCCATGTCCTCACTCTGGTTCGTGCTGTTGAACCGGTGCACATGACACAAGGTTTGAGGCCAGTGCCAAGCAGCGCAGCTCTGCACACTGCACTATATTTGCCACTGCCTACTACTTCTGCTTGACGCACGATGCATCAATGATACTGACATGAATACGCTGGTCGGGCGAAAACCCGCGACAAAAAACATCTGACTTGCTGCTCCACAAGCCGAGCTGGCGCGAAGCTCTTTTTTGTGCATTCTTTACGTCGCAGGTTCTCATGCCGTTTGGCATAATGGTCTTGCTGTTTTCGCGTTTCACAATGCTGGAATTCAGATTTCGAGGGATGTCGTGAGTGTGTTGTATTTGCATCACAGAACTTGAATAAATCTTGTCTGTGGACACTCCAACCGTCGGAAGCCCCTCCCTATTGGAGAAAAATCGCTGGCGAATAAATCTTGAGTATTCTTGAGTGCAGTCCGACCGGCCTGGCCTCAAAAAACTTGGTGCAATCAAGCTGGTTTGGCTCGAGGAAATCTGGGATCTGAGGGCTCCGATAGCTGTATCCTGGACCATCTCTACAAATATGTGGCCTTGACCTTGTCAATTTGGGTAGCGGCAACAGATCAATCTTGAGATTTCCTGGACTCGATTTTGGGAATATAAGGTCTAAATCCCAAAATATTTCCGTGCTTTTTCCCACTCCGAGGCCGCCACACTCCTCAAAACAAGGATGCTACTTGCACATGTAACAACAAAACTGCAAAGTTTTTCTAAACCTTCGTCCTCCTGCATCAACAAAATTGCAAGGTGTGTGTGAACATTGTTGTAACATTTGTCCTCCTCTAACCACAAAACTGCAAGGTTTTGTGTAAACCCTTGCCCTCCTCCAACCTTGCATTTCTGTAGACCTTTGTCTTCTGATTTGCAAAGTGTGTGGTAAGCCCTTAATTCTGTTTATGGGAATTCAACTTTAAGCTTTCGTTGATCCAACCCAATATCTTGCAAAGAATTATGCCAATCATGCCAATCAAATTGGTATGCCAACGACTTGATCACAAATGTATCCGGGAATATACCATACATGATTTTGCATCACAATCCAAGTTGTGAGATTCCGCATCCATAATGGATAAACTTTCGGATAAACATGTTCGACGAGTTCAAATCGAGTTTGCACCACGCAGCATGTACAGTACAAAATGCCTTTTCGACCCCCATTTCGACCACATGCACATCGGAGCCTGTCAATCATAGCGAGTATTCTGCAGACGATCGATCACTCAGAGCTCTGCGAAACTTTCACAAAAAAATCGCCGTCAAGATGAACCTATCTTGCCGTCTGCTTGCCCTGCTGTTAAAGTGTTGCTCTCGAACCGCGCCGTCATGTTCGAAATTAAGCAAGTTGAAGAACGGCAAGGCTGGGACAGCACTTGCACAGTTCTCTTAGGCTTGCACTGCTCTCCCACTTGAACTACTCACAGCATCCATTTTGACCGTAGTGCTTCTGAGTAGGCTCGGGGCTAGGCGGAGGGGCCTAGGCCCGAGGCTGGTCCGTAGGCAAAAAAATCACCCCCCGACTAGACTTTGTGAGAAATCGAATATATGCCACTACCTAAGTTCTGCGGAGAACCAGGGCTAAAGATTTCCCTGGGCTGGAACCTGGAGAACCCTTGGCTTTGCAAGGGTAAGTGCAGGCTGAAGGCTGGAGTGGCCGATGCGGCGGTACCACCGTTAACGATTGCCTACAAGAGGCTACAAGGCTAAGGCGAAAAAGGAGACTCTCCGAGGCAGAGAGGCTCGGTCCGCAGGGGCTCCCGGCACGGGGACCGAGTGAAAAAGAATGGGCCCAGCTGCTTCTCAGAGGCTTCCAATGTCGGCGATGAAGACGAGAGTACCTCGGGAGGGAGTTGGCTTGCTGAGGCTGGTCGGACCTGAGTACTGAGCCAGGCTTGAGTATTAGGCATGCTAAGGCGAAAGGCTCGCACTGCAATCAGAAGGCTCGGACGCGACGAGGCGTAGTCGTACCTGGAGTGGGAGGGCGGGGTTTCTTTTGCAGGAGGCTGTGATGTTCAAGTGCTAGAGCCAGACACTGCATAATGTACAGATTCACAAGCACAGAAAACATACACGAAACAAAAACGTGCAACGTTCTCTTAGGCTTGCACTGCTCTACCACTTGAACTACTCACAGCATCCATTTTGACCGTAGTGCTTCTGAATAGGCTCGGGGAGGGGCCGAGGCCCGAGGCTGGGCCGTAGGCAAAAAATCCCCCCTTGTTTAGGGACAGAAGCAACGGTCAAATAGGCGCAAAACGATAGTCCCCCACCGCGGGCGGCGTTCTGTCCTTAGTGCAGGACTGTCGCACGCTGAGCGGGGGTAGGCATGCAGAAAAGCTAGCAGGCTGGCGCCACTATTTTCCTCTTTCATAGGCTGCAAGTTGGGACGAGGCAACATGTGCGTCTTTAGACGTCCAGGTAGCCTCCGAGGCTGCCGAGGCAAGTGCTTGTAGCGGTATCCGGATCCCCTGTCTTGAGGGTGATGGGCGAAGGCGAGAATAAGGCGAATTACAACTAGATGGGGGTTCAGATGGGGGAAAATACAACCAGATGGGTGATAATACAACTGGGGGTCTTGTGGCAGTCATCCGACTGGGCCTCGTCATCAAGCTCCTGGCGATGGCGAGACTGGTCGTAAGCCAGAGGCCTCGGGCCGGGAAACCATGGGCCTCGGGCCAAGTCCAGTTTTTGTCGATTGCACCGGTGGCTCGGCCAACCTTTTCTAGCCACACTGTGCCGATCTCCTTTTCACTTGTGGAATGCACGTTCAATCGCTCTGCCTGCGCCAAAAGTTTGCTATGCATCCCCAGCTGTGCCCAGTGGCTGCTATCCACTCGTTAATTGCTGCAGCCATGCAGCTGCCATTCAGGTACCTTCTGAGAGGCCTCAGCTAGCTGTACATACTGAGCGGCCGTAGCCTTTATCTTGTTGTCGGTTCAGTGGTTTACATGAGAGTGCTAAGGCGGCAACTGCCCGCAAAGTGCTGAGCCCGCTCGCACTGCGTCCAATTGCAAAAATTGTTGTTGTTTTTGGTGGTGGTGGTGGCGGCGGTGG